TCGAGATGAAAAATCGGTACAGAGGCCCAGCGCACACACAGACACACACACACAAACACACATACACACAGACAACCCCTCGTCAATATGCGTTTTTCGCATTGCACTGCTGCAAAAAACGCATAAAAATATTAGACGAACAAGAATGTTTTGGTCCAGTGAGTCATGCACACTCTTATTCAGCACCACGGTTGGGTCTCTCCTAAATTTGTAAGATCCAGAGCACTCTAAACTTGGTAGTCTTAGAAAAAGTTATGAAGTCGCTGAATTTGCTAAACAAGAACACTCGCTGATTCCTTCGATTATATTTCTCTCCACATTACACATTTCTGTTCCTGTTTGTTGCCATCATTGTCTATCGACATTTTCCTGGGCTAATCAACAATGGCTTCTGTTTACTCCTGCTTCAGTTTTACAAAATATGTTTAATGGAGGTACAGGAATCCATCCCCGAGGTGATCCGACTTGCGAAAGTGAAGCTCAGGATCTTATGAAAACAATCCCACGAGCTGGACACATCAGTATCATACACAATTGGTTACCTGCAGGACGGTAATGAAAAATTTTAAAGTCCAGAAAACATCACTTACTTAATGATAGTTTTTGCCGTACTGCTGATGGTGCGTTCTGCGGCCTTCAAATCATCAGTTTCTTCGGCATCGACGGTCCGTTCTGTTGTTGCTGATATTCGGCTGGAGGACTCTACAGTTGCTGGTGTGGCCTTTGTTCTTGCAGTTGCTCGACTTCGGGCATTCCACGAGTTTCTGTACAATGGCCTTCTATACGATCCAAATTATCAGAGTGTAGTGAACGTGCAGTTCCTTATGCAGCAGCTTAAGTCCCATCTAATCATGGCCAGAGAACGCCACTGTTATCTTGGGAAATGAAAATTCGATCGCGGCATGCACATTTGAAAGACGCTTTTCTCTGGCTGTGAAAAACCCTCGTTCCTCCTCCTCCCTCACCTCCTCACCTTCCACCTCTTTTCCCCAAAAAAATGTTTGTTTGAATTCGTCCATAAAACTGATGTTCTTTCATCACCGTTGATTTTCGATTTTGTGTTTCTTTCTATGCAACAATCTATTGTGGTCGGAAGCAAAAAGTAAAAACGTGCCCTCTCGAAATTTTGTTAAGTGCACTTCTTTGACAAAAATTTTTAAAATTATATTTTTCGAGAACTTCTTTGGTATTTGACATGGCTTTGGCAGTTTTTTCCTCTTCCCTCACTCGCCTTTTCCCTGATTCTTTATGTTTAACAATCGCATTGCATCACATGGAGTTTCAAAGAATTATGAATTTATGAATAAAAATTCATAATATGAAGAAAAGTTAGCAAACAGGAGCAACGCTAATCTCATGCTGAACGTTGAAAATTTGGCTCCAACACTGAAGCAAAAAGTCCGCTTCGACTCATTCGTGCGTTTCGACAGTAGATTGGTATTAATGCGCGTTAAAGAGCCAAATGCGCCATCACCTTACTTCTAAGTAATCCTCGAAGGGGCGGATGTTTCCTTTCGGATGGTTTATTATTGGTGTATGTTATCAGTGGAGTGGATACGAAGGAAATTTTGACGTCTAAATTGAAAGGAATTAG